TATATTTTTTATATTTATCTCTATTGTTGAAAGTATTACAAGTGCCCCCCTCCTCCCCACTCCTGCCTGCTCCCCAGGCCTTCACAGCACTATTTTCTGTGTCCATGGGTTATGCATATAAGTTATTTGGTTAATCTCTTTCTGCTCCCCCCACCCTTCCCTCTGAGATTTGTCAGTCTGTTGCATTGGAGTGACATTGGTTAATAAAATTATACAGGTTTCAGGTATACATTTCTATAATACATCATCTGTATATTATATTACTTGGGGTGGAGAACATACAGATAATTTTTAAAATAATATGATGGAGGTGCTAGCTAAAACTAGGGTAGTAATGATATTGTAGCATGTAAGTGCATAAATGTTGTAACCTTAAATTTAAACAATGTTGTATGTGAATTATATCTCAATAAAAACGTATTATACAAAGTTCACAAGACTAAACACAAAACATTTAAAAAATAAAGCAGCTATTATAACTATCTGAATAGAGTAAACAAAACATGCTTTCATTGCATGAAACTATCAGCAGAAATACAGAAGCAATAAATAAAAACCAAATAAAATGCTAGAAATGGAAAATATTCTGAAATTCTCTATATGATAATTTTCTTACTGATTATTATCCACTTCATTTAATCTAGTTCTATCTTAATCAGCAATTTGTTACACTGAAAGATCTTTAAAGACAAGAACCAAGTCTTACTCATATTTGAATCTGCAACACATTTTATAATGCCTGGCATATAGAAATGCTAAATACCTCTCCATCATTAATTTATTTAATTGATGTAAGAAACTGAAGGTTTCTAAAATAATAAACTAAAGATGCTTAGCATGCCTGCCAACCAAAGTCAAATCATCTTCAGTCACAATATATTTGGCCCCCTTGCAATATACAGATTACGTTTCATAGAAATGGACACTTGAAACCTATATGGTCTTATTAACCAATGTCACCCCAATAAATTTAAGTAAATAAATGAATAAAAATAAATAAAAAAAGAAAAGCTGCTTATCATTTTCCTCATCTCAAAATTTCTGGTCATCCTTTATTTTAGAGAGTGTTGGTAAAAACAATCAAGCAATTAACCTTTAACCTTTACTTCATATTTTATAATATTGAAAAATGTAGTCTATCAAACCCGACACAAAACTGAGTACTGGCTTATTTTTCTTATTTATAAAAGGTGACCATGTAGAATTTTCACTGTACCAATACTGAGTTGTCCATTAATTTATTATTTATTCTTATGTGCATACTTATCCACTATTACAACTGATTCAAACTTAAATATTTAAATTATTTGTGACTTTGTTTCCTTACAGAGGTATATGTAATAAAAGTTGACATTTTTTGGTAACATTTGTTTTCTTTATGAACAGGTAGGTAGCAAAATAACAGGCCTGCTACACTCCTATAAATTTTAATAGATTAATGCTTCAAATGTTTAGAATCCAAATTTCTTATTGTATTTGGAGGAGGGGTTGGCAAGGATCAAGATATACAGTCCTCTTAGTACCCGAACTTTATATGTTAAGTGTAGCATAATTTGGATAATATTCACATGTCCTTGGATAATTTTTTTATGTTTCAAGTTTAAATTTGATTAAGTTTAATAGTTTCAAAGTCAAGGTTAGGTTCATTTATATAATTTAAACCACTTTTAAAACTAGTATGCTACTCAGAGAAAGACAAGTATCACAAGATCTCACTTATATGTGGAATCTAATGAACAAAATAAACTGATGAAAAAGGTAAATCCAGAGACATTGAAACATGCAACAAACTGACATATTTCAGAGGGAAGGGGGGGGCAGGAAAAGATTAACCAATGACCTTATATGCATACATGCATAGCCCATGGAGAGACAATAGTGTGGG